TTGGCAAGGATACCACCCCAAATCCTAGAAGAAAATATGCATCTAAAAAAAAGATGAGAATGATTCTCCTCAGGATCTTGACAGAAAGGGCAGCAAGGATTTGTAACAAGACCACAGGTTTTGAGTCTATCACCAGTGTTAAGTCTCTCATTGATGGCTAACCAAACAATAAAACTAACCCTAGGGATTGAAGGGGGGCCCCAGATAAGTTTGGACCAAGTGACTTTAGGGCCCTTATCCCTCCAACAATCCCAAGCTGACTGGATAGAAAAGTTACCATCAGCAGCCAAATTCCAAAACGGAGTATCAGAAGAGCCAAAGGAAGGAAGTAAGGATAAAGGGGTAGAAGAGATCCACTCCTTTATCTCCCAAGAATTAGAGATAGGCCACTTCCAAGAACTATTAGAGACTATAGAGCTAACCTTGGTGCTGTCAGGAAGATTAGTGTCATAAAGAATTCTAGGACCAAACCTATGCCACAACGAACCAAGCGGGTGCCAATTGTCATACCACAGGAACACATTATCCCCATTACCAATTTTGAACTTGATGTGAGGATAGATTAAATGCCTAAGAGACAGGATTTTCCTCCAGACCCATGAGGGATCACAAGGAGTTCTAACAGTCCAAAAGCTCCTCCCTTTAAGCAAGTAAGCCTTGACCCATTGGCACCACATGGAACAATCACCCCCAGAAAACAAGTACCAAACATGTTTGGCTATAGCAGCCTTGTTCCAGGTAGCTAAGTCTTTGAAACCAAGGCCACCCTCATTAGGGATAGGTAGGGGTGACTCTACCTTAGGGATAAAATTTCACCCCTTATTATCCACAAAATAGGTAGGGGTGACTCTACCTTTTTATGGTATGATAATTGGCATCCTCTTGGTCCTTTATGGAAAAAATTTGGGGACAGAATCTTGTATGACTCTAATCTTAACAGTGAGACTAAGGTCAATCAGATTATGGATGGGGACTCTTGGAAGTGGCCTGTCCCCAACTCTTGGGAAATAAGGGAGCTGATCTCTTCAACCCCCACTAGCTGCAAACCTAACCCTCTACTGGATGATCAACCTACTTGGTCTCTTTCTGATGGGAAATTTACTATTAATGGTGTTTGGAATCATTGGAGGCTTAAGCTTGATAAAGTTGTTTGGCATAAATTAATCTGGGGGGCTCACCATATCCCTAGGGCTAGTTTTGTTGTTTGGATGGCTGTCCAGGAGAGGCTTAATACTGGTGACAGGCTTCAGCTATTTGGCATCTCTCCTACACCAACTTGCCCCTTTTGCCAACATGTTACTGAAACTCATTCTCACCTCTTTTTTGATTGTGTCTTCTCTACTAAAATCTGGACTGAAATCAAAGCTAAATGTAATGTGCAGTGGCCTGACTTTCATTGGCCTGGCATTATTCCCTTTGCTACTAGAGAGACTATCCATAATCATCAAATTGTCATTGTTGTGCTCTATTCATATTATCTGGCTTGAAAGGAATAACAGAATTTTCAATAAAGAATTTAAGCCAGAAGAAGTGGTGGTTAAAATAATTGTCCAACTGATTCGGGGTAGATTGTTGTCTATCACAAATGTTCCTAGAAATGCAGGTGACAACTGGTACATTGACCATTGGAATTTGCCTGCTACTGTCTTGAAACCCCATGTTCTCGGCACTGGGAGGGCTGTTGAGTGATGTGAGTTCACTATATGAGGGTTGAGTGATTGTAAGCAAACTGAGTGTTTTTTGCTAACTGTTTTCTTCTTGTGTAGTATTGAGAAGTGCTTGGATCAATGAGGGTTGAGTGTTGTGAGTCCAAAAATTTACAACAGACAGAATTGTGGGTTGAGTGAAATAGCTACTCACAAATGTTTTATCTAATGTTTATATATATTGTAAGCTTTATGTGCAGGCTATGGAGTAATGCAATGCTGTGTGGGTTGAGTGATGAGAGCCTATATATTGTGTGCTAAATTCCAAATACTACTGAGTGATGCGAGATTATTGTGGGTTTAGTGATGTGAGACATATATTGTGGTTATCTGTTTTACTGGAATCCTTCATGATCACTAATGGATTTGTTTACTCCATTCTGGCAGGTCTTTCTATATTGTCTAGTGGAGGTCTACTTCTTGGTTTGATTCTTGGGACATTTGGCTCGAAGCTGGCTGCTGAATGCGCCGCTGGTTGTTTCTTCAGGGATATAAGCTGTTTTCCTTTCTGTTTTAACAAACTTTAGCTATTTTACCTATCCTAGCGGGATGTGCTAGGAATTAAGTGGTCCATCTTTGACCTGTTTTGTTTCTATTTGCTTTACTGTTTGGTTCTGGATTATGTAGTCCACAGGTTATGTTTTGTTTTCCATTACTGTTTTTGGACTTGGGGCCGTCATTTGTGCTGCTATGGGGCTGTTTAACTCACGGCTTTGGGCTGTTCCTTCGCAGTGTTCATTTCCCCTATCTCTCATGATATGGTTGCTGAACAGTGTTTTTGCTTGGGCTCTCTTTTGCTTTATTTTTGTTTTTTTGGTTGCTGATCTTGCTGTATAGTTGGTTGTAGGGCCTAGGGTATTCCCCTTGTAATCTTGTATATCCTTTGTCTTTTATTTATGTCTTATTCACCCAAAAAAAAAAAAAAAAAATCTTAAATCATTTAAGTGTTAAATTCTCAAGCCCAGAAGGATGAATTTGAATGAATTCCCATTGACTTTCTTCCAATTCCTCTTTCTTTTCTCTTATACTTTCTCTTCTGGCTCTCAAAGCAGAAAGTTTCTATCTTTCTCCTTGCCTCTCCATCATTCTCTCTTTTGTTCCGGGAACAAATTAGCTTGCGCCCCTAATTGTTTCATTTGCTCGAGTGGCCAACCTAATTGTTTCATTTGCTCGAGTGGCCAAGTTTAACTTAAACTAATCTTGCTTAGCCTCTCAGCAAGAGAATTTACTGAGTCATTGTCGTATAACGATCTTAGTTTAACATTAAACACCTCATTTAAGTATTCTGAAATCACTTAAGCGTTTAATTCTCAAGTCTAAAACGATGAATTTGAATTCCCTTTAATTTTCTTCCTATATCTCTTTCTTTTCTTTTAACTTTCTCGTCTAGCTCTCAAGAAGATAGTTTTCTCTCCAACTTTCTCTGTGCTTCTCCATCCTTTCTATCTTTTGTTCTAGGAAACTAACTCGCTTGGGACCCGAACTGTTCCATTAGCTTAAGTGGCCAAGTTTAACTCCAACAAATCTTGCTTAGCATCTAAGAAAGAGAATTTACTGAGTAATTGCCACTTAACGATATTAGTTAAACATAAGCACCGCATTTAAGGTTTTCCAAATTCCCCAACTGTTCAATTCTCAAACCCAAAAGGACGAATGCGAATTCCCAATGATTTTTTCCCCGTTTCTCTTTCTTTTCTCTAACTATCTCTTCTATCTCTCAAGAAAAAAGTTTCTCTCTAACTTTCTCTGTGCTTCTCCATCCTTCTCTCTTTCGTTCTAGGAACTAATTAGCTTGGGCCCCTAATTGTTTCATTAGCTTAAGTGGCCAGGTTGAAATCAAACTAATCTTGCTTAGCCTCTAAGAAAGAGAA